ACAAAATTTTAAAAATCTTTATTAGTGGGCAAATCATATAGTGCTGGACTATGATAGTTAATCATTTGGTATTTAACACCCCAACCCTGGATCTTTAGTTTAATCCCTTAAACCGTAAGCTGATGCAGGCAAATTTGCCTGCAAAAATTTATCCAATAATCGCTATATTTACTACAGTTAAAATCATGTGTTTAAATAATCTAATCATGTCATGGATGTGCCGTTTAGAATTTGTCGGATATCGAAATTTTAAATCAGAAAATGTTTTTAAATCTCATTATTAGTTTAATCCGACAAGTATAAATAACGGTTTCACCACAAAATCCCGATATCCAAAATCTCGAAACCATAATCCCGACGTGACAATTAATATTTAAAGATTAGTAATCATATTAACAATCATTGTCAGACTTTAAATTTTAATTGCCACATCGCATGATGTCAGTATTATGGCCTGTCGAGATTTTGGATATCGGAAAATTCACAAATGCTGGTTTTAGCTTTGCAGCACTCATATGTATAAATTACGTGCTGTTATCGGGTGTGTTATACCACAAAATCCCAAAATCAATTTTATAGAAACGACTTATCAGACACATGATCCATTAAATAGAATTTATTATAGAATTTATTATAATTCATCAGGAATCTGATCACTGTTTCTGAAAAGCAGAGCCAACAAAAACCAAATTGCTGGTTTTAGCTTTGCAGCACTCATATGTGACCTTTACAGGGGTTATTTCATCAAACCGAAGAGAAAATAAAGACAAAGCGCTATTAAAAATGGCTAAAAGTAGTATCGGCTAAAGCTCTATGCAATTAGTATGCCCAGTATTCATATTACTGAGGTTGACATAATGATTTACGTGTTGTACTAGCAAAAACAATTTTGATCAAAAATTTGCAGACAAATTTGCAAAACGGTTTAAGGGATAATCATTAGAACGTAATTTTTTTTATAATTTGTGACTATATCAAGGTTAAACTGTATTGTAAATACAGTATTAAATTACAATAACTTATTATCATCACATACATATTTGTTTAATATTTTTATTTAAAAATATGCTAATAAATTTTATTATAAGTACAAATAAATTACAATATTTGAATATTTAGAATTTTTTGACAAATATTCAAACATTAAAAAGATTGAACAAATATAGTCAAACCTCTCTATAATCACACTATTGAAACTATAATAGCTTTTTTCAACAATTTGCTTATATAAAAATCCTTTATATGTTTATAGTAATTCAAAATAAATATGCCATAAAAAGAATTTTATATAATGCACTTACAGAGGGAGTGATCATAAAAAGGTTTAACTATATTTGAATACATTTTGATAAGAGGCCCAATATAATGTATTTTATTATTCATTGCCTACACTTGTTTATGTAGTATGTATCAACAAATGATGACAAGAGCTAAAGTTCATTTGTTCACAGGAAATCGTTGAAATTATTGAAATTCAACTTTTATAACGGGTTTATTACACATGAATTGTGTAAAGCAGACGGTCATTAAATATTATTGTCATCAGGGGACAAATCTCCCTCATTTACTTCAACCACCAATGTAGGGAATGAATATAATGATTCAACCTGGGCTTCTTTTGTAATTTGACTCAGTTTAGCTAGTAAATTAGGTGAATCAAATAAAGTATAAGGTAATGGTGGACATGAAGATGGGAAATGCTAAACGCCAAAAGTACTTTAGTATATAAGTTTCAGAATTTTAGTTCTATCTTGCAAATTCTAAATAAATCTACCTTTTCATTTTGAAAACTGTTATGTGCTTTCAAAAGTGCACTGCATAAAACGAATCGTACCAGAAATTGGCGAAGGAAATCATCTTGTAAAAATCGTTTCAACGATTTTTCTGTAGGTCAATGAATGCGAAACGTTAGTAAATATAAATTAACAAATAATAAAGTAGAAACTGTATTGTACCCAAGTTTGAGAGATTTAACAATTCAATGATGATAGCTTCTGTCTCGGCTATAAGATTCACACATCTTTCCCATTTTTCAGAGTCTATACTTTCGATATTAGAGATAAACGAAAACCCAAGAAGAGGTGCGTGAAGGAATAGTGTGAAAAGGCTTCCTATCTTCGGAGCATCTAATTATTAGAAAAAATATAAATTAAATTAATAAAGACAACCGATTTTATCTATTCGATAGTAAACCTTTATCGAAATTGTACCAGGAATGGATGACGGATATTCAACAGGAGACATGAGACAAAGAAATGGTTGGTTGAAGACCTTAGGAAAATTCTTATAACCATTAACAAAAATCAAAAAGGTTATTAATACTCGCAATAAACGCGCAAAGTTGGCAAGGTGGAAATAAGAGATAAATCATACCGCAAAAGCCGTGCTATTATTACTATCAACTATAATACACAATGGTTTTCGAGTAAATGGTACTAAATCATTTGGATGTAAACAATTAATTAATCCACTATCAGATCCGTCGGCTTTGTCAGCAGGTTTGCGAGAATTTGTTGCAACACCACCCATATATCCTGCATTTAACAAATTATTCAACTTCTTAATGCGTAGTGACAAAAAAATCACCTAAGCATAAGAATTACTTTATTTCTCTAACCATTGGATAAATTATGTTCACCATTAACATTTGCGTGTTTAGTGCCGTCTGCCGAAAGATATAATAGTAAGGCGGAATTCTCATTAATTTCCTGCATAGTATTAGCTATGATAAGTAACAAATAATGTAAGAAGTGTAGTGCGTCTTAAATAAAAATATCACCTTGAATGCTGTGGAGATATAAACCATTAGTTGACTGAAAGTCGGTCTATGCAACAAATACTTATGAGGGTTCATTCTTCGTGATGCGGATTTATCCACTGGTGTATTTATATTTGATTGTTCATCAGTCGACGTATCATCTTTGCTCAATACCCTTTCATTACCCACAGAATTTTCAACACCTGGTGTTTTGGGCGGTGCACCCTTCGGAGGAGCTGGTTCGCGTTCTAAATAATAATATATCACATGTTTAACATTTATTATCAAACAACCAGAAACATTTAAAACAATAATGGTCTAATACCAAGAGATTGCAATATATGATACATGTCAAGAGTGAGTTCTGAAAACTTTGTTTGATTCTGATAGTTTCCCACTAAAATTGCTTCTTGAAGTTTTAATCTAGGTGTCCCATCTTTTTCAAGCCTAGGACTTCTTTCTATTTGAAGACGGCGCGCGATGGGTAAGAAATGGCCTTCAGGGGAAAGGGGCGTAAGCTTCTTTTCAGCCTAAGTAGCCAATTTGATATGAATAGCAGTGTTATTTAATTTTATTCGAGTTTATAATTCAATACCTCCAAAAACGCGTCAATTTCTGTAAGAACTTGATTCCATTCCGCCGAATCAATTGGTTTAAAGATTTTTATATAGTCATCAACAAGGCCATTTAATTCATCTAACAACTTTTGTACGATATCCCCCTTGTTTAACAGCAGGCACACAACGATAAATCGGGCGTAATATCTTAATTTTTTGATCATTAGTGCAGGGCTACCAAAATAAAATAAAATAAACGAATGGTGAGATACCATTAAACAATGTTTAAATAAACAACATTAACGTTATTGTAGATTTTCAACAAACTTTTTAACGTCAAGAACATCTTTAAAATAGGAGCGATCACGAATAGCTTCATAGAATATATATGATTCGTGAAGATAATTTGTTTCACTCGTACGTAAACTTTAGTTCACACAGAAATGTCGTGTTAAGTTTTATTAATATAATTTAAATAAAGATTGAACGTAAAAACGTACTAGTAATGGTAATAAAGTTGTCCAATCTTTGATGCAATTTCACCAACCTCCCATCGTTTAAGACCATAATTATTTTTATTTTCTAGCACAAATCTAAGATTAAACGCGTTAAATAGATTTTTTCAAGATTGAAAATAGCCTTTATTGAAGAAATAATAAATTGTCACCTATTCTGTTGCTGGAACTTCCATAACTGGATATCCGTTGTAGAAAATAAAAATAAATTAAAATAAAAATAAAAGAATAAAATAAAATAAAATAAAATGGAAACATAAATTCAATCGAATCAATTTACCTTGGTATAAACTTCAAAAGTCCGTTGGAAATAAGGTTGCCACTGGCGACCACCAGTTGGTGGAAGATCCCTGTATATATCTTGAGATTTCATTCAAAATATAATAAAGAAGTTTCTTTTTCAAGGCCTTTCTTACCTCAAGCCTGCGAATAGCTGTTGACTCTTCTCCAGTAGGTACTGAAATTCTTCAACGATCCTTTGATCATTCACTTCATTCACTTCAACTGCAGAGTCCGTTATCACCTTATCTTTTTCACTAGTAGCTTCTTCCATGACAACATCATGGGCAGTTGGCTGCGCAGCTGCTGTAGGAGTAAATGTAGGTTGAGATTCTCTTGCATTAAATTTTTCTTCCTCCATTTTTAACCGTTGATCATTTCTTGCAGTTTGTGAAGCACTAATTTCTTCGCGTACATGATGGAGTTTAATTCATATTTACATATAAATCTGCGGTATCACACATGTAATGCTTTCACGTGATAATATGCTTTAATAGTCAAAAATCTAAAGCGGAGCAGATTCTTATTTTATTGAATTAATGAATAGCGATAGGATTTAGGCTTTTGTACTACTGGTAGTACATTTTAAAAAATTCATAGCACAATCAAAAATAAATAAATTTTT